CCCCAGCCACCCCCGGCCACCCAGCCCTCCGCCTCTTCCCAGGACCAGGCTGCCGGCTCCCAAGAGGCTGCCCGGGGCTGCAAGAGGTGGGTGCCTGCCTGGTCTAGTGCGGAGATCGTGGACTTCATCCAGGTTTGGGGGGGAGGCCTCCAACATCTACAATCTCTGCACTAGGCACAGGAGAGTGGCCATCTAGGGCAGGATAGCTGCCAGCCTGGCCACCAAAGGCCACATGCGAACCCAGGAGCAGGTTTGCATGAAAATCAAGTTGGTTCAGTGAGACCTCCCAACCCTGAGCCCTGAGCTTAGAACATAAGAACATAACAATTGCCGTACTGGGTCAGACCGAAGGTCCATCTAGCCCAGTAGCCAGTCTGCCGACAGCGGCCAACACCAGCTACCCTGGAGGGGATGGACCAAAGACAATGACCAAGCCATTTGTCTCATGCTATCAATCTCTAGCATTCCACAAACAGAGGCCAGGGACACCATTCCTACCCCCTGGATAATATCACTTCATGGACCCAACCTCCATGACTTTATCTCACTTCTCTTTAAACTCTGTTATAGTTCTAGCCTTCACAGCCTCCTGTGGCAAGGAGTTCCACAGGTTCACTATTTGCTTTGTGAAGAACAACTTTCTTTTATTCGTTTGAAGCCTGCTACCCATTCATTTCCATTTGGTGCCCTCCAGTCCTTATATTATGGGAACTAATGAAGAACTTTTCTTTATGCACCCTCTCCACACCACTCATGATTTTATAGACCTCTATCATATCCCCCCTTAGTCTCCTCTTTTCTAAGCTGAAAAGTCCCAGTCTCTTTAGCCTCTCTTCATATGGGACCTGTTCCAAACCCCTAATCATTTTAGTTTCCTGAACCCTTTCCCTCTCTCCCACCTCCTTTTACCAGTCTCCCCAGAGGTTAATCCCTCCCCTCCCCAGTTTTGTTAAATAAAGAGAGTTTCTATTTTTGAAAACACATGTCCTTTATCTTTTACATCAGGAAGGGGGGCTAGTGAGGGGTAAATGGAAGGAGGTGAGGGAGGAATGGGGCACAAGCCCCTGATGGGAGGACTGGGGTGGCTCTGCAGGCTCTTCAGGGTGAAAGCTCTCCTGCAGGGCCTCCTGGATCTTGACAGCCCCCTGATTGACCCTCCCGGATGGCAGCCTGCAGCAAGTGCAGCTGGACTGATGGCTGAGTGCTGTGATGTGCCGAGTGCAGGCACTCAGGGCACTCCAAAACAGTACTGCTTTGCTGTTCCTTATCGAGGTAGACAAGCAAGCGGGGAACCCTGAGAACTGTCTGTCCGGGGTGGGGGTCAGGTCCCTTTAAGCACAGCCCTCGGCTAGCCTGAGGCAGCAGCTCCATATTCTAAATCCTAACCTGATGCCCTGCCAGCACTGGTTCCTGCCAGCCTTAACTTCGGTTCAGGGTCCACTCAATGTGGACATGCTAGTTCAAATTAGCAAAACACTAATTCAAATTAGTTTTTAGGTCTAGATGCACTAGTTCAAATTAGCTTAGTTCAAATTAACTAATTCGAATTAAGTTAGTTTGAATTAGTGCTGTAGTGTAGACATACCCCCAGGGAGGAAAAAAGGGGTGATGTAAGTAATTATGAGTTTTTCTGAGCAGTGTTTTTCTTTATCAAACCTTCTTTCTGTGTCAATGGCAAAGGCTGACCATTATAGTTTTAAGTAAAATATACTAAAAACAGTATTATTTTTGAATGAGTGGAGGAATGGATTGCAGTCCAAACTGTTTGGCTGCAACACTGGAGTATATTCTCCCCATAAAGAGTGTTTTATCATAACTTTCAGTAATATTAATGAGAAGTGTAGACATATTCCTAGGAAAGAGAGATTTTTTTACAGGATGTATGACATCTACCTTATATTTCACATGCAAATAAAAATATGATTTTTATATTGCATAAATTGTTACCTTTTCCCTCAGCCTAGAAATTTTTCATTTTGGTGTGTGTGCTAATGGTAACTATGTGGCTATCCCTGCATACTGTATTTTTGTAGCAGATCAGGAGTAAAACGCAAAACAGAGAAACTCCCCTATCAATGAAGTAGTTAAAGACCTTTCTTCATGAATCATTCTCTCAGCCTACAGTACATGTATCTATAATGATAACAAAGAATGATGAACTAAAGCAAGAGAGCTTTTAAACTGACCTGTTTTTCATTTTCATCCTCCAGCCGTAGCCTGTCCTCTATGCAGTTCCTGGCCTGAAGAAATGCCTTTCTCTGAGACCTTTCCGTCAAAATCCTCACAAAGAGCCCATATAAGTTTACACTGACAAAAAGGATAGCATTGGCCATGAGCTGTAAGAGGAGAAGAGAAAAAAATATTTTAATGTACAGATTTTTTCACATTGAATGAACAAGTCATTATTTAAAAAATACTGCCTATAGACTACAATAGTGAAACACTTTCCTGTCTTACAACAGTGAAGAAGCAACATTACCATCTGTCATGCGTCTAGGCAGACATATCAATTTACAACTTTTAATTTGCTAAAGTTAACTTCTCTTAAGATGACCTGTGACTTCTTATTTTTGTTCATCAATGGGTCTTTAATTATGTCATTAGCCAATCTGTCTACGTATCAATATGGCCCTCACAACCATCACTGTATGAATCAGTAATAGACTTTAGCCTCACAACATACCTGTGAGATAAGCAAGTATTTTACAGATGGGTAAGTGAGGTACAAAGATATTAACTGAATTGCTCACAGTCACACAGAAAATCTGTGACTGAGCCAAGAATTTAACCCAGTTACCCTAAATCTCTTTTCAGTATTCCATCCACTAGGTTATCCAGTCTTTATCTGTGCTATTACCAATCATAGTGTATGTTTTTGAACATCTACACAAGAAATTACTGACACAATGATCCTATAGAGCACTGAGTGCCTCCCTATACCCCATTGACTTTAGCAGTAGTTGAGAGGACACAATGGGTACGTCTACACCACATGGCTCCGTCGACGGAGCAATGTAGATTTGTTTATTGGGCAAAGGGAAATGAAACGGCGATTTAAATAATCGTGGCTTCATTTAAATTTACATGGCTGCCGCGCTGAGCCAACAAACAGATGATCTGCGCTTAGTCTGGCCGCTCCCCTGCCGACATCAAAGCCCTTTGTCAGCAACCCCAGTAAACCTCATCCCATGAGGAATAACAGGGCTGCCAACAAAGGGCTTTGATGTCGGCAGGGGAGCGTCCAGACTAGCGTGCTGAGCTGACAAACAGCTGATTAGCTGTTTGTCAGCTCAGCGCGGCAGCCATGTAAATTTAAATGAAGCGGCGATTATTTAAATCGCCACTTCATTTCCCTTTGCCTACAACCCTCATCTACATGGCTCAGTCGATGGAGCCATGTAGTCTAGACACAGACAATATGTTGTAGGAGGTATTAAGCAGGAGCAATTCCATAACAGAATACTGAAGTCAGTTGGAAATGGACTAGCTAGAGAGAATACAAATTTAACAATGACAACTGTTCTTTTTACATAGGAAAGAAGGAAACAACAATGTGTGTTAAACCCAAACAAGGTCCTATTGTGTAAGGTACCACCTTAGATTCATCCCATTGGGTCTTGAGCTAAATTAAGAAGGGAGGCTCTGCTCCAGCACTTAAGCAGATCAGTAACTTTAAGGATATGAGAAACTTAAAGATGAATTGCAAAACACCACCACAACAGTCTGTGCCCTGCACGGTGCCAGTTTTGTTTACAGGAAACTGTTCATTTCCTCCTCTTGCTTTCAAATATTAAGTTCTGGACTGCTTTCTCTTTCCAAAATGACCCTAAGATCAGAACTAAAGTGCAGCTCTTGCAGCACCTTCTTGAGAGAGGAAGGAGTGAAGCTGAGTCTTCGTTGTTTTCAATACACAGGCCCAAGATTCTCCACAGCATTGGGTGAGAAAACATATGGCCTATATGCTTCCATTTTCACATCTATAAAATGGTGATAAACATATTTACTTCTGATCACAAGGATGAGTTACCACTAGTACAGCACTCTGAAGATGAAAAGTTCAATGTGAATGTTATTATTTGAAGTTATAGAGGGCATAATGAGAGGTCTACAATTCTTGTCTCCATTTATCTTGTAATAGAAAGCTGTTTGTGGTATTATCAAATTTCAGCACAAATAAAAGCCATTGAAAAAGGAGATGTACAAGAGAAACTTAAGTAGAGCCTGATTCTTAGAGGCATGAATGGTACCACGATCACTGAATGTCTGCATTTTATCATACAATAGTCACAACCATTAGATCATGTGGTGTAATACCAGTGTGTTGTAAAGCTGATTTGTGCAGGTTCAGTGACTGAAAAACACCATGGATGTCTAGCAGTCAAGTCTGATGGCAGATGTCAAAGACCACTGAATGAACAATCCGAACAACTATAGACAATGCAACTTACATGACTTTGCTCAGAAGTGGTTCTAGCAAAAAGACTGTGTTATCAAATGGTGTCAAGACCTAATATTCTTCTTTGATATTGACATGACAGTGACATGGGAGTTGGATAATTGTTTTCAGATGGAATAAGAAAAAAGTGAATTCAATTTCTTGGCCTTCCATCAGAAGCAGTAAAAGAGCATATATTTTAACAATCTGCAAGCTATTCTGGGGCTGTCATCATGATTTCACTCAAGCTCTGGTGGTCATCTGAACCCTGAGAAACCAGTAGGTTAGTCTTTGCTATCACACAGCCACTTTCAAACGCAGCAGGGTACGTCATTTTTTTGACAAAGTTTGAACAGTTCAAGATAAAACAGAGGCTTAGCTGTCAGCATTGGCCTGCAGGGAATCAGGAAAAGCTGTAAAGCAAGTAAAAGTAACAGAATTAAGAATATAAGAAAAAAGAAAGTGGGCTAAATTGTCTCCTGGGGTAGGAATCTTGCCATCCCCTTTCAAATGCCATATATTTCTTTCACTTTTTTTTTATGTATGCCATTTTGTGGTCCTCATATACATACACAATTGACATATGACCCAGGAAAGGGTAGTGAGTTTTTTAAAATAAAGGCCAATAAGGAAATGGCTTTCACCAACTAGATGGACTCAAGCAAAGGCCAAGATTAAAAATTACTAGTGAATTTATGTGTCTGAATTTCTAGATGCCCAACCTGAGACACCTTAAAGAAGTCTAATTTTCAAAAAGTGCCAAGGAAGCTCTTTGAAAATGCAATGCTTTTAAAAGGATGACTTGGGTTCGGTACCCAGAAATGAAAGCATCTAAAAAAATCATTAATGATGTTCAAAAATCTTTGTTAAAACCATATTCATTACATGGTAAGAATTTTCTGTGGGAAAGGACAGTCTTTCTGTTATGTGTATGTACAGTGCCTAGCACAACAGACTCCTAGTCCATGACTGTGTCTCCTACCCACTACAGTAATTCAAATAAATACGTAATAATAATACTCAGAATATATGCCACTGGTTACACTAGAAGGTAGCGATAAAAAAGCTGGCATTTTCTAAGAAATCACCATCTTCCAGTTGCTTAAAACGCTTTTTTATTTATTTAATGGAAAAAGAAATTACAAGGAAGTGTTTTTGTTTTGCATGTTTCCTTAATACAGTAGAACCTCAGAGTTATGAACACCAGAGTTATGAACTGACCAGTAAACCACACTGACCAATTTCAAACTGGAATTATGCAATCAGGCAGTAGCAGGAAAAAAAAAAAAGCTAATGCCATACAGTATTGTGTTGAATGTAAACTAGTGAAATAAAGGGAAAGCAGCATTTTTCATCTGCACAGCAAAATTTCAAAGCTGAATTAAGTCAATGTTCAGGGGTAAACGTTTGAAAGAATAACCATAATATTTTGTTCAGAGTTATGACATTTCAGAGTAGTGAACAAACTCCATTCCCAAGGTGTTCCTAACTCTGGGGTTCTAATATAAATAACTGATGCCGTTCATAAACAGGCTAGCCACTAGTTAGTGAAACAAGGTCATCAGTAAATTATTACCTGAAAACCATTTTCTGTTTTTGATTGGAAAAAAACTTTTGAGGTTTCACCACCAGCCCTTCCCACTGGACTATGATCTGGTGCATAATATAAATCTGAGAAATCACAAATAATAAAACAGTTTCTTGCTTAGTCAAAGGGTCTCCTATGTAATGGCTCTACTAGGGAAGTATCCTAAAATACACAGCTGGAATAAACTAAAAGTAAATGAGGGATGTAAATTACTGTGGAACAATCTTTAACGAGAGCCCGAAATTGAATGGGATTTTGTTCTCTGAATGAGAAAGTCAAGGTTATGATCTCGTGTGGAATAGAAGACTGCTTTCAATGGGAGTTGCAGATGCTTGGCATTCTCTGGAGGAGGCCTTAATTGCAAATATCAGTTACTTGGGATTCACTCCCACAGTGGCACAGCTGTTCATGAACTGCCACATTGTCCTGTGGGAGGTGAGGATGCAGCAGAGTGGAACAGAGAGGGGTTGCTGTCAGCAATTTCAGTAGAAAGCCAAGATCTGCAGAAAATACTGGTCCCGTTCTTGTGGGGTTTTAAGCATCTGTGACCAACTGAAAGAGAATAAAAACTAGTAATCAGAGATACTGAGTGTAAGAACTATTTTTCTAGTTCTTTTCATTAACTTGCTGTGTGACCAGTGAGCAAATAGCTTATCCTTTCTCTGCCTCAGTTACAATGTCTTTAAAACTGAAACAGTAATGCTTACTCACTTTTGTAAAATACTTTGAGACGTATGGATGAAAGATTTTTTTGTATTATGTACGATACATTTTCCAAAACAACTCCAGTATCCATGAAAGAGCAGCAGGCTACATAGAACAGTGATAATAACAGTCTTATTTACATGAGTTTTAGGCCTGTTCTACACTTAAAATGTAGGTTGATATTGTTATGAAGCTCAGGGATGCAAATAATCCACAACCCTGAAAGGCTCAGCCATTTCAATTTAGCCCCTTATGTTTATACAACTAGGTTGGCAGAGGATTGCTTTAATCATCTTTGCTACTGTCACTAGTGGAATGAGTGTTCTTACACTGATGGATAAATCCATTCTATCTGTGTAGGTTTTGTCTACAGCAGGGCTATCAACATGCAGCCTACGGGCTGCATGCGGCCCGTGACCTATATGTTTCTGGCCTGTAATGTGGTTTGGGTTTACGTGGGGCTCAACACGCAGCCCTTATGTGGGATCCTTTGAACATGGACTCCACTGAGAGCACGTTCCACAGTGGCGAGGCATCTCCCAGGTGGGCTGAGCATTGAAAGATGCAAGCGGACGGGCTGGCTGGAACAGACAGGTACAGGGTGTTGG